CTGGGAAAATTGGACAGATACATGCAAAAGAATGAAACTACACCACCAACTTTCACCATACACAAAAATAAACTCAAAATGGATAAAAGACTTAAATGTAAATCATGAAACCATAAAAATGCTGGAAGAAAACATAGGCAGTAAAGTCACAGACATCCCACGTAGTGGACTTTTCACTGATACATCTCCTAGGTCAAGAGAAACAAAGGAAAAAATAAACATATGGGACTACATCAAACTAAAAAGCTTCTGCACAGCAAAAGAAAACAGCCTCAAAATACAAAGGAACCCCACAGTCTGGGAAAACATTTGCCAAGGATGTATCTGATAAGGGGCTAGTTTCCAAAGTGTATCCTACATTTTCTTATCCTCTTCTAGCTGTTTTCTTCTTTCCTCTTGGTTAGGATTTTCTTGAAAATAGTTGACCTCCCCTATTAGCATTTCCTGACCTCCCTTCATCCTTCAGTTCATTGTGATCCTATTTTCATACCATTACTACTGCTCTTGCTGAGGTCACTAATGACCCCGACCTGTCAAATATAAGGGTCATTCTTTAATCTTTGTTCTTATTTTGGCCTCTTTGCTGCATTGGACACTGTTAATCCCTTTCTCTTTGAACCACTTTTGTAATCCTGGCTTTAACCAAACCATTCCTTCATGGTTTTCTTTCTACCTTTCAGGCTACTGTTTCACAGGCTGACTTCTGTAAAATTCCCCTTCTTCTACTTTCCCTTTAAAAGTCACTGCTTTCTCAGGTCTTTCCTTTTCTTACTTTGTTCTCTGCCTAGACAGTACCAGCCATGCTCACAGTTTCCACTACCATCTCTAATTATATAATGGTCAAATCTACACTCTGGCCCAGTTTCCAGCCCCCTACTGGACTTTAGACCCACATATCCAATTATCCATTGGATTCTCCATTGGATATCCCTTATCTACTTTAGACTCACTGTGGCCCAAACTGAAATCTTCTTATTGTCTACACCAACTGAAGCTTGTCTCTTCTTCTCTGTTCACTATTCAGACTAATGGTGCTATTATCCACACATTTCAGAATCATCCTTGACCCTTCTCCTTCATCCCATATATTTTCATTCATAACATCCCCCTTCTCCTTTTTCAGCCCCAGTACTACCTTAGCTCAGGCCTTCTTTGCCTTTCACAATTTTATTAGCTCTCTAACTGGTCTTCCTAAATTCAAACTCATGTCCACTCAACCTATTCTCCTTACTCCCACCATAGTGAGCAAATCTTATCATGGAACTCCTCTATTTTTAATACCTCAATGGCTCCCTTTTGTCACCAGATGAAATTCACACTTGTCAGTCTGACCATTGCCCTCCTGGGCAAGCCTATCCTCAGTTCCTCACTCCAAGCCTAGCCTCAACCAAGGTGCTTAGAGTTTCTCACCTATGTCATACTTTTGTACCCCCTGCCTGTAGTGTCCTTTCCTCGTTAACCTGACAAAAGCCTACTCATCTGACAAGTCCACTTTAATTGTCTCCTCTTCTTTGGTTATTTTGTGCCTGTTGTACCTGGTATGGACTTTTACTGTTTTAGTTATCATTGGTTTGTAGTTGTTCATGTAAGTGTTTGTCTCCTTTGTATCCCTAATGCACACCATACTGTTTCTTGTATAATCACTCAGTAATTATTGGCTAGGTGGGTGGATGAATGAGTGAGTAAATAAATTAGTTTCCTTCTCTTTTCTCACCTGAGGAAATCCTACTCTTTCTTCAAGCTTCCCTGGCTCCTACAAAAGGATATAGTTACTACACATTATAGCAGCAGATATTTTTTCACTGTATTGCATTTTTTATTTACCTTTGTTTACCCTAGTTTGTGAACTCCTTGAAGGTATAACTGAGTCTCGTCTTTGTGTCTCTAATACTTAGCACATAACTGGCATAGAGAGATACATAAGTAAGTATTAGAATGAATAAGTGAATGCTCATTATCCATCATTGCCAAAATTACCCAGATTGAGTAACTGCCCAGATCTTTACACCATTCTGATTATACAGAAACTGTCCTAAAACAGGTAAACCTCTCCATCTTAAGTTGGAAGAATTTATGTTAGTAAGACTAAATGTCTAAAAACTCTAAATTATTGTCAGATCTAGGACTGGAATGCAGAACTCTTCTATGTATGTTTTGGGGCATGAATTTTTCCTCTTGCCTACTCTTCTCTCTGAGAGTTGATCCTTTTCTTCTTTAGAAGTTCGGTGAATTTAGAACTCCCTTATTTTTCTTTTTATCCTGAATCATATGTCAGTTTTGATTTTTTCCCCCCATTAGGTAAGTTTTCTGTCTTTTGTTGCATTCCTTTATTTTTTTTATTCCCATAGAAGATGCCAATATTATTGAAGAAATTAATGTTGCCCAGTAAGACCAGGTTCTTTGTGCTGTAAGGATGGTATTTGGCAAGCCTATTTATTAACCCAACATACTATGTTATTTATGCTACTTTTTGCCTCTTGTCTTCACAGGCAGTGAAGGTAGAAAAGGCCAATGTCTTAGTCCACTGTTCTGATGGTTGGGACCGCACAGCACAAGTCTGCTCTGTGGCCATCATCCTCCTAGATCCATTTTATAGGACTTTTAAAGGTCTCATGGTAAGAGAGCAAATAATTGTTATTTTACTTTGCATAAGTGACAGATAAATAAAAAAGAACTTACAACCAATTTGTTTTCTACAAGAAGGGGTCCCAAATCTACAAAAATAGCTTTGTTTTTCAGTTTGGCTTCTTTCTACTAAATTAGGCATTTACAATCTATATACTTTTTATTGTATATACAACATAGTTTCTTACCTGTCAGAAGGTAAGTTCTATGTAATAGGCTGCTGTAAGGGGTAGGAGAGACTCAAACAGTTTGCAAAGCCGAGAGGATGACTGTTAAATAGGCTGTTAGATGGGTTCATCATCTTCAACATATCAACTGTTTGGATGTCAGACTCTTGATTGTTTTCTGGCTCTGATTCCAAGGCTTTTTAGTTGATTTTTCTAAGAAACAGATTTTTAAGAAATACTTTTCATAAAAGATTGAAAATAGGTTTGTATCAAGATGGTACAAGCCCAAGTACTAGCTTTGGAGTCCTGTTTTTTCATAGGTGGAATTTTTTTCCCCATTGCTTTTTTAGAGGAAGTGGAAGGGAGAGAGAGGAAGAGAGAAAGATCAATGTGAGAAAGACACATCGATTGTTTGCCTCCCACTCTCACCCTGACAGAAGCAAAGCCTGCAACCAAGCTATGTGCCCTTGGCGGGAATCAAACCCAGGATCCTTTGGTCCGCAGGCCAGTGCTCTAACCACTGAGCCAAACTGGCTAGGGCCCTAGCTTGAATTTAATATCATGTTTATCAGGATTGCATTTAGTTATGGCTCAAATAGCTTGCCACACATCATGTAAAAGCCAAAAGAAATGTGACACTGGATACAAATCCAGAATAATTTCTCCTGAGAGCATTTGAAATTTGAAAGAAGCCTATAGAGGCCTTTAAAGGAAATACAAGTTACTTAGTTATCATTTGGGAAATTAACTTTATTTATTGTCAGTTCAACCCAAACTTGTACAAAGTACATTTAAGCAAAGTGCTTTGATATTTTTATATGTATGGTTAATTCATTTTATGATTTTCCTAATGCAAACTTTTTTTGTATAAAAATGAAGATCCTGATTGAGAAGGAATGGATATCCATGGGCCACAAGTTCTCCCAAAGGTAAAAAATATCCTCATTTTAAGGGAGGAGGCTAACAAGAGGTCATTAGGGTTAGATTTATCAAAGCAAAATATGTTCTTGTGTATGAAGGAGCAGTATGTTGAAGATGGCGTAAATCTCTTTTCATCAAGAAATAAATATTCCAGATACTGTGCTAGGGGCCTAGGGCTACAGAGGTCATTAGAATATTATCTCTGCCTTTAAAGTGTGCAAATAATTATATCAAATTGTTAAATATTTTTGGGAAGAACAAGGTATCACGGGCCACAGAGGACAAAGTGCGTAACTCTGCTTGAAGAAGTCAGGAGAGGCATCCAGAAATAGGCAGCATTTGAAGATAAATTTTGAGGAATGAATAGGAGTTTGCTAGACAGAACAGTGGGTTGAGGAGGGCATCTAGGCAGAAGGAATAATATCTAAGAAAATGCACCTTTTAACCTTTGATAAGAACAAAGAAACGTACAGATTTCTATTCTTTAGTAAGGGGCGGTGCAAGGGCTTACATTAGTCTAGTGTCTGCTATAAGGCAGACAGCCTCACTGAGGCTTTAACTATGTTATCAGAACAATCAACAAATATTTACCAAATACTTAGCAATGTTCTATATACTGTATCAGACACTGAGCTGGTTTAGAAGGCACATAAATTTTTTTACCCTTAAGGAAGTTAAAATTCAGGATATATTCTCTTCCATTGGTGTGTATCCACTTAATTTCATTTGATTACTACTCCTAGCCATTTGTTTCCATCCATTCACTTTTCTTTCATCAACAGACCTTGGGCCAGACAGTATACCAGGTTTATTTATTTATTTTTTAAAGGCCTCAGGTGTTTTACAAATGAATGTTGTTAATACACACCTGTGCTTATCTCTTTTTTAAATATGTTTTTATTGATTTCAGAGAGAGAAAAGGGAGGGGGGAGAGAGATAGAAAAATCAATGATGAGAGAGTCATTGATTGGCTGCCTCCTGCATGCCCCCTGCTGGGGATCAAGCCCGCAACTCCGGCATGTGCCCTGACAGGGAATCGAACCTCGATCTCCTGGATCACAGGTCAATGCTCAACCACTGAGCCAGAAGACTATGTTGAATCAGATATGGTCTCTGTCTCTTCTTTTACAGAAAAGAAAATCAATGATGACAGTATAGTTTGATAAGTGCTAAGACAGTGGGAAACATACACAAAAGAACCTAACCCATTCTGGGGCAAAGAAGACTTCCTAGAATTAGTGGCATTTTAGAACATTCAAGAATATAAGGTTGAGTATTTGAAAAAGACAGTGGGTGTTTGACAGAATAAGATTCCTAAGGACACAAGAGGGAGTGAAAGCTATACTTCAAATGAAAAGATTAGCTAAAGCTATAACTAAAAACACTTCTTCCATGGAGACTGGATGGAAGGACAGGCAGTGAAGGAACTAACTGTGTGAGTGTTAGAGACAGAAGTTAGATATTTTTACTTGGTGGCCTTGATTATTTTCAGTGACACTGCAGACACCAGTGTGAAATAGGTTAGGGGTTTGAGAAGATAGAGTACATTTTGCAAGAGCTGTAAGGTTGATGGGAAAAAGTATTAAGGACATACATAAAGATTATGGGGGAACAAGTGAATTCTAGCTAGTATAAAGACTTTATTTCTTATCAATTTTATTGGGATGACACTAGTTAATAGGATTGTTCAGGTCTCAAGTACACATTTCTATGATACGTGATCTGTATATTGCATTGTGTCTACCACCCAAAGTCATATCATCTTCCATCACCAAATATTTGACCCCCTGTATGCCCCCACCACTCTCCCACCCCCTTCCCTCTGATAACCACTACACTGTTGTCTGTGTCGATAAGTTTTGGTTTTATTTCCCACATACAAGTGAAATCATATGGTTCTTAGCTTTTCTGAGTGACTTATTTCACTTAGCATACTATTGTCAAGGTCCATCCAAGTTGTGACAAATGGCAGTATTTCATCTTTTCTTATGGTTGAGTAGTATTCCATACTACATTGTCTTTATCTATTTATCTATCAAAGGACACTTTGGTTGCCTCCATGTCTTGGCCACTGTGAATAAAGCTGCAGTGAACATAGGGGTGCATATATCTTTGTGAATAAATGTTTTTGAGTTTTTTGGGTAGATACACAGAAGAGGGATTGCTGGGTTATATGGTAACTATATTCTTAATTTTTTAAGGAACTGTCATACTGTTTTGCATAGTGGCTGTACCAGTTTACATCCCCACCAGCAGTGAATGAGGGTTCCTTTTTCTCCACCTCTCCAACACCTGTTATTACCTGTCTTGTTGATAATAGTCATTCTAATAGGTGTGAGGTGGCATCTCATTGTAGTTTTGATTTGCATTTCCCTAATAGCTATTGAAGTTGAGCATTTTTTCATGTATCTGTTGGCAATTTGTATGTCTTTTTGGGGAAGGTGTTTCTTCGGGTCCTCTGCCCATTTTTTAATTGTATTGTATGCTTGTTTGGTGTTGAGTTCTATGAGTTCTTTATATATTTTGGATATTAACCCCTTGTCAGAGTTGTTGTTTGCAAATACCATCTCCCATTTAGTTTGTTGCCTTTTCCTTTTGTTGTCAGTTTCTTTTGCTGTGCAGAAGCGTTTTAGTCTGATATAGTCTCATTTATTTACTTTTGCCTTTATTTCCCTGCCTTTGGAGTCAAATTTATAAAATATCCTCTACGACCAAGGTTCATAAGTTTAGTACCTATGTTTTCTTCTATGTAATTTATTGTTTCAGATCTTATATTTGGGTCTTTGATACATGTTGAATTAAATTTGGTACATGGGGACAAACTGTAATCCAGTTTCATTCTTTTGCATGTGGCTTTCCAATTTTTTAAGTACCATTTATTGAAGAGGCTTTCTTTACTTCATTGTGTGTTTTTGGTTACTTTGTCAAAAATCATTTGCCCATATTGTATGGTATACGGGAACATGGGCTCCTTCCCAAGCTCCAACTCCCCCTCCCACCCTGTGGGGATATAGTGAAGATTATTTGTAAGAGTACTGTGGGACCGACCTTGGGAACCTGGCCAGCTCCTCTGTCAAGAAACATGGAGGGACCTGGAGAGTATTATGCTGAGTGAAATAAGCCAGTCAGAGAATGACAAGTATCACATGATCTCACTTGTATGTGGAATCTAATGAACAAAATAAACTGATGAACAAAATAGATCCAGAGGCATAGAAGCATGGAACAGACTGACAGATCTCAGAGGGAAGGTGGGAGTGAGTGGGGTGGGTGGAGAGAGATCAACCAAAGAACTTATATACATATATGCATAACCCATGGACACAGACAGTAGTGTTGTGAAGGGGGTCAATTGGATAAAAAAGGGGACATCTGTAATACTTTCAACAATAAAGATAAATTTTATTTATTTTTTATTTATTTTTACTTTTTATTCTTTGTTAATTTTATTTTTGTTTAAAATATTACAGATGTCCCTTTTTCTCCCCAATGACCCGTTCCACCCTGTCC